GAAAGAGGTTTAAGAAGGTTTTAGCTTGAAAATTCTACAAAGATGGTTGCCACCTGTTTGTTAAATCAAATTTAGTTAAAGTAAAATAATAATTGTGCCAAACCAAAGGTTTACGACATCTTATTTGTTATTTTATTACGAATACATACATTGTCAATAGTGATTTGTTCTGATTACATTCCTTCCAAATTACTGGACTCTTTCATTAACTAAGGAATGTTTTTATTCTTCACTTACTCGTATTTCTTGCTAAATATGTCCAATTGTTTCTTTTGTCTGATACCCATGTTGATATACATATTTCCGTTACCTTATTCACTTAACAAAATGAATTTAATTTTTTAAACATGTGGCAACCCCTCTACGTGCCGTTTAAAAGTAAAGCATTTTCAAAGCCATTTCAATTGATACCCATATTGTAATATTTAGTACATTTAACTTATTAAATAATTTTAATGAAATTAGTAACAGGTGGCAACCCGGTTCAAAAAAACAAAACTTTATTGCACATCTACAGGCCAAGCCATGTCATTTGACACCTCACTTTTAAAAATTGAACGAACTATATTTACATACCTACATATGTAAATGCCACAAGAACCCAAATTTTCAACTTAAATCTGCATTTACAGTGAAAGTATGAAAGTTATTCAAAATTTTGCTAAATTTTACTAAGAAACAAATTTTCATTTCAATCCGTCCATAATTCTATTTTTGCCCACATTTCATATGGAAGGGAAGCACTGTGCGACATTAGAGAAAGGAATTCGCTTAGTGGAAACCTGCGAAATTATATATTTACTTATCAAGCTGCCGTCGTAAAGATATCAGGGAGCGTGGCAGCTATTTTTGAGCTTAACTCCCTAATTTGTAATTAGAAAAAGAGATTAGCCATACAAAATTCGTGTCTTCTTAATCTGTAATTATAAAATAATCTCAGATTTAACAGTTAACTTTTCGGTGTCCAACCTAGTTTTATCGATTATTTTTGCGAAGAAGAAGAGAAATGCCAAATTTAATAAAATATTAAATTAAAATATATTTAAATTGCTTAATATAGCAGACAAATGTGATCATGGTGGTACAGAGATCGCTTTGAGATGTGGGAATAACAAACACAACAAATTTGACGGCCTGTGAGATTTGCCTGTGTAAACGGGGTGATTAAAAAATGAGTTTTGATTGAGATAATATTTATATGTAAACATACTTTTAGGCTGGAATGTTTGTTTGTTTGTTCTTTCGGGTAAAAACCGCCTTTATAAAAAGTTTGAAAATTTGGTGAATATTTGTCGAATTTTTATAATTTTTGTTCAAAGTTTGAAAAGCGGATTTATATGATGTTTATTGTATAACTACCTAGGCTTTTATAGAAAATATTAAACTAAAGAAATATAACCAAAATTCTTAAAAGTACGACGAGCCTATTATTCCTGCCGCCAGTGTATATATGTAAATAATCCGTATCTGCGTTTGTGAGGAGCATCTTCGTAACTATCAGTGGAGTTAGAGTCCATCTTAGGGATTCGTTATTTATAGAAAAAATTGGGGCCTAGAATAATAACTTCTAATTTGAGCTATTGAGTTTATTTGGCCGTTATAGGCGAGTTAAGTGAGGTCTTTTAAACTTTCCAATGCTATGTATACCCGAACTTTTGTCATAAAAAGTCTTACATTCAGATTTTGGTGCTAAAAATATATGTAGAAAAAATTTAAACTCTTTTTCGAAGATATCAAATAGTATTATCTCTAATTGTAGAATATGCATTGACTTCATAATAATACCGGTTATATTTCGTTAGAATAAACTTGAGTTATTTTTGGGCTCTTTTGAGATTCTTTGCCATAAAATTTTCGAGATTTTGCCTCTTTTTTTGTGTTGTTCAGAATTCCTTGTGTTTAAATCATCCAGACTTTAACATATTTTTATGGTGTTGTTTGGAATAATTCGGAACGTAATTGGTTTCTGCTGAATTTTTGGGCACTTATTAAGATTACTTCGA